CTCAGAAGAAACCAAGTTTTTGCAGATCGATAATTTGTACGAAAAAAAAAACTCAAATCAATCGAAAACGGAGAAATCGAAAATGAAGGCCTTTCCCCGCGGCTGCGATCGACCGCGCCACGCGAAACCGTAATTTGTTTTTAGCTGAAATCGTAGGGTTTTCGTGCGAGGCGAAGATATTTCAAAAACCCGAAAACTTGTTGAAGAATCATTCAAAAAGTTTCTAACGATGTTCAGGGAGTTGACGAATCAATTTATTGGCCCGTACGGGTCGCCTTCGGCTTTTCTTCTACCTGAAATCAGGGAAATATTGGCCGAAACAAGCCCGGCCGATCCCCCATGAGTCTAGAATTTGATACAACGCCCAAACAGATGAAAATTGCGGCTTTTGGGCAAAACATTTGCCATCTGCATAAGGCTCTCTTATTATCTTTCCACTTTTGTTTGCGTGAAGCTGGCATTTCGTGTATTTCTGAGAGTTGATATGCAAAGCAGGCAATAATATTTATTCAATAAGCACAAGATCAATGAGTCAGTGAGAAAAAACCAGTAAAAAGGGCATGCGGTTCCAGAAAATACGTCAACTATTCGGCAAAACTATACATTTTTCTGGAAGAATTCGACGACCGCGCCGCCGACGTGGCCCAGGATCGTCGGGGTTGGAGCGGTTGGGGCGGGTTGAGGCTCGGACGCGGCTAGCGCGACGGGGTCTTCAACTGCCACGGCATGGCGTCCCCTCGTGCGGCCCGTCGAGGCGATCAGCTTCAGCCGCCTGCTCCCCCATCTCCTGAAAAACGAGTTATTCAGGTGAGGATCAATCTCAATTATTTCGCCGCTCGGAGTTCGTATTGTGTGTTAGGTTCTAATTACCGAGTCACTGAATAGTGTTGTGCTGGCAGAAGATGAAGACGTTGACCAGACGGTCGAAATTGAGGTATCCGCATCCGGTGGAATCATCGTGAAGCTATCGTCGCTAGCGACGCGCAGGGTCGACACCGGGCCGGATGGGTCTTGCTGAAACGGGATGAGGTTTTTTAGTATCCTGATCGAGCAAAGCTCTTTGGTATTAACAAAAAGATTCGAGTAAGCTGCAGTCCGTCTGGAAATCCTACGCACCAGAGGGCCCAGAAGGAGAACGCCATTCGACGGCATGAAACCGGCCTCGTCAAGGCAGAGCTCCCTCAAAGTCTTCGTGCTCGCCGTATCCGCATGCGCGATTTCTCGAGCCCGTTGCATCTGTAAGGCAGTCTTTCAGTAGTCCGCTGCAGCTGATTGGAGATGATCACGTCAACTCACCAAGGAATCAAACATCCTGCTCGCTTCGAATAGTCGCGTCTCGGCGGCCGCCAAGGCTTTTTTCGCGTCCGGGATGGTCGTCTCCCATTTGAGTTTGGCGATCTATAAAATCATCGTGATGTGCAGGAATATCTATTTTACCTCATTTAGATCGACAATATCGGTGTCGAGGTACTGGGCGATCGTCTCATACGGCAGGCCAGCGAGCAATTGGCACGGAGACACGGGAGTAATCCCGACATCCTACAAGTAAATTTTCCTGGGTTTGTGTCCAAAGAATGTTAAAAAGCCATCCGCGAGCCACTCGAACCGAACCTAATATGGCTTGGCACGGTTTTTCGACCCTGTTTTTTGACCCCATCTGAAAGAGCATGGTCGAATTAGTGGAGTGGCACTATTTTGAGAATTTTAAAAGTTTAATTTCGGGGTTAAATCGGACGTTAAAGTTGCCAATGTCGAAAAATTATCTCGAAAGTGACTTGAGGGAATTTGCTCAAATTTGGTGTGTATGCCTAATTTTAGACGCTGATCATTTTTTCTAATACATCGCGAAACACAAAAATGAGCGGAACATGGTTAACTCACATTACTCGAGATGGTTTCCCGGAATCCATAAAAAACAGCCTTTCTGCGCTCCATGAAAATAGCATAGAAAGATGCGCCATATTTTTTTACGTCGATACATGTGTCGTTTACCCGGAAACCAGCTCCCCTCCTCTTGCTACAACGCGTTTTATACGCAAAAACGCATAAAAATGGCCCCCAAAATAAAAAATCTCCGGTTCAGAAAAAAAAGAGAACAGATCGCATCTAGAAGGCGAGCTGAAGCGATTGCAAAAGAGCAAAAAGAAATTCGGCTTCTGAGGGGGCTGGGATTGAACCCGCGCCGCCTCCGTATTGGCACGCCGACGCTCTACTCATTGCGCCACGGGGCTCCCAGGCGGAGGGTCAGGTTCGATTCAGCGACATTGAAATAAGCCGAATTTCTTTTTGCTCTTTTTGCAATCGCTTCAGCTCGTCTTCTAGATGCGATCTGTTGTCTTTATTTTCCGAACCGGAGTTTTGTATTTTGGGGGCCATTTTGGCGGGTTTTGGCGTATAATACGGTTGTATCAGAGAAGGGCTGGTTTCCAGGTAAACGACATTATCGACGTAAATATGGCGCATCTTTCTACGCTATTTTATGGAGCACAAAAGGCCGTTTCCATAGTTCCGGAAAATCCATCTCAGTACGTGATTTAACCATGTTCCGCTCATTTCTGTGTTTCGCGATGTATTAAAAAAATGATCAGCGTCTAAAATTAGGCATACACACCAATTTTGAGCAAATTCCCTCAAGTCACTTTCGAGATAATTTTTTCGACATTGGCTGCTTTAGCGTCGATTACTGAATTAAACTTTAAAATTCTCAAAATAGTGCCACTCCACTAATTCGACCATGCTCTTTCAGATGGGGTCAAAAAAACAGGGTCGAAAAAAACTGTGCCAAGCCTTGTTCGGGTGGCTCGCAAACGGCCTTTTAAAACAGTTCGAAGCTCTGCTAGGTCACACTATAGATAAGTGTCAGTTATCAACTTAAATAAACACACGGAAAACTGGTCAGCCGGTGGCTGCTTGCACGGCCGGCCCATCGCGTAGTCGTCCAAGTAGGCGTTGCGCCAGCACTCATACCGCCTTCTTCTCCGCACAGGCCAGCTTCTCGATCCGATCCTCCAGCCAATAGTGCAGCATCGCCTGTAAATACGCTCGTATGACTGTTTCTCTCTCCTAGAAAAGCAAAAGTAAGGGTCTACTGTAGAATCTAGCCTCTTTTAGCTGATCGTAGCTTTGTAGGCTTGCTATTCCGGCTGTGCATGCCTTTACCGGCGCAACCAAATTTGGGGAGGTGAAAACGATAGCAGCCCGGCAAGAATTCCCTGGAGGCGTCCATTCCAAGCTTTGCTATCCCCATTACGGTGTTTTTTGACGGCTGCCGGTGATACCTCCAATTCGACGACGGCCCGCGCACGGGCAACTTCTGTGCGATCAGCGCACATCTTCTCGAAGGCCGTTTCCTTGTCAGTAGTGTGAATCGTGCGGTTCTGAAAATAAATCCTTGGATGAAAATAAGGGGACTAAAAAGTGCCCAATCGTGAACAAGGAAACTCACAAAAATCATTGTTTCCCTAGTTTGGAAGTGAGTAGACTAAATTGTTGTTCGCGGTAATTTCTTTTATTGCCAAACCTATGCAAATGTAGAGCTTCCGGTGGACGATCAATTCGTAGCCGAAACGTATTACGCGTCGTGATTGTGCGAAACGTATAACTAAAGTTAAATTAAAACACGCGACAACTATGTCCAGCCTTTTTCTCGTTTTCCTCCCTTTTAGAAGTTCGATCCACACGCGTGCAGACACGACAGCAAAGCTTTCCGTCGCCGTGGAGCCAGCCACGCAGGCCAAATGGACAACAAATACGCATACAACGGTTTGAATGACGCCTTTTTTTAGGGGATAACGAACGCCCGCATAGAGCAGCAGCACCAGAGCGCAGATATAATTGGCGAAAGTTCAACGGGAACCGGTGAAGCACGTTTTATGCCCAATGAATTCCTGCAATTGGCATTTTCTGATCCATTGGTACTATTTATTGCCCGAACCAGCGACACTAACGTTATACGTGAAATAGTAATACGTGGAGAGCAGCACCTTTGGTATGTGGTGGGTGGAGATCAGGCGTTTGCTGCAACATTCGGGGCCCTAGGAGAAGGCGTTGTTGTTAGAGGATGAGCGTTCAAGTACCTCTTTTAGTTTTCGGAAGGATGCCTGGGTGCCCCAGGCACGATCTACAACATTTGTCGAGTTTTCCGGGTCCACGATGGCGGCCACGTCGATTGGCAGCATCCTGAGGGTGCCGAATAAATAGTATGATTTTTTTCCACTAACATGTGCCTTCCGATCTCGTCGACAGCTTCCAGCGGGGTAACGCCGGCGTTTTTTCAGGCACCAGCCAACCTAAAAGGTTTGAGTATTTGCGAATAGACACTTTTTAGCGAACCAACCTCGGTATCTTCATGAAAATAAGTAGTGTTTCGGCATTTTGTGCCATCGTCCATCACTGAGACGAAACTGTAACGGTTGGAAATCGGTTCTTTAGCATTATCGGGGGGGGGTGGTAACCAAAATTTTTTGTGTAATTTTGGAACCACCAATTCTTTTATTAGCAAGTGTTTCAATAATCAGTAAAAGATAGCTTTATTTAAACTAGAAAAACTATCCAAAAATGCCGAAAAAGTCGACATTTTGGTAAAAACAACAATTTTTGGGCGGAAAATCGATATTTTTTTTGTATTTTTAATCAAAAGTTGTAAAGTTGTACGTTTAGGAATAGCAACTCAACTGTTGAGAAACACGTCAGCTCGTTTTATTAGCAAAATTGGATCCTTAAAAAAAAGTTGCCCCCCGATAATGTAAAAGAACCCGGAAGTCTATTCAATTTCAATCCTTACGCTTTTATTGCCCCGCGAGACATAATATATCCAGACCCGCCGCTCGCATAGGTGAAGTTCGATGGATATACCTAAATCTTAATTTTTTATTGGGATTTTTGACTTCACACTTTTTCCATATTGATGAGCAGGGCGCCTAGTGAAAAGGGCGCGTCCGGGTCGTGGCCTTTCAGGCGATCTTTCAGGTTCTCGATGACAAAGAACGTGTCGTCGTCCGTTTTCAGGAACCAGTCGTAGTCGTTCTGAGGGTTGAGTTCGAGCTTTACCGGTTTCGATTTCGTTTAGTTACCAAGAGTTCAGCGTGGACACGGCGGATGGCTAAACGGATTCGGTCCCAGATCCAGATGTAGTTCCTCGTATCGTGCGTGGCGTTGCTAGGTTTTTTTGGTATTGGGCTAGTAGCAGGGGAGTTGTTTTTCGTCCATGCCTACCTGTTAATAATAAATAGCGTATTTTTATACTTTTTTCATAGTTTTTGCTAGAAAGTTACAAAAAATGGTCGTGAAAATTCGAAATTTTTGACTTTTTTGGTAAGTTTTTGACCAAAAGATCAAAAGTTTTGTAGATTTGTATAGGTTGTTCAAGTAATTTTTATATGTAATATGTAGAATGCTATAAAATGGTCTATATTTTGTTATAGGACCGTACAGGTTTAATCGAAAAAAGCCCCCCCCCCCTTCTAACAGTCCACTACTGGGTTTTTTATAGTTAAAGTGTACGTAAAATCATTTAGATTGTTTTTGAGACCGGAAACTTGGGTTAATTTACCCGAATTTCAGCTCCCAGAATGGCGAGATTCCAGCCTCGGCCACCGGGTCGACAAACGGCGTCATGAAGGCATGGCCGTCACAATGCCGGGCCCAAGTAGCCTGATAAACGGTGAACGTTTCGACGATAATTTGGTTGCTTCAGGTACTTGCAAAATTACCAACATTGATGGCGCGCGCCTTGGCGCGACTCCTGGCGCCGGGCATGGTGTTGATCAGACAGAAAACGCGTGGCCACCCGACCTCTACGTTTTCTTCTTTCGCGTGGTGTTCAATTTGAGGGGCGATAGTTGGACACGGCTCTAAAGATGGTTGTTATTTTGCATTGCAAAAGGTGGTTTATTTGGAAAAAAGTTACTAGGCTCCTATTTTTACAGTTCCTAGTCCGTCTTATGTATTCGTTAGTAGAAAAGTTTACGCTTTCACTCATGATTATTTCCGAGTTTTCTATAGATTGGATACTTAATTCATTCATTTTTGGTACTCCCTTTAGAAACTGGCGCGTCGGTTTTGGGGTGTTCCTTCATCCAATAGCGCGGCTCGTCACGGAGTGCACTGAAATCGGGGCAAACTCATCGGCAGAGGCCCAGATTTTATTGTATCAATAGCGAATACGTTCGTGCACTGTTTTCAACTGTTTCTGGAACTTTATAAAATGAAATGAAAAAGTAGTTTTACGTCGAAAATGGATATTTTTCGACCCAAAATGACCCAAATTTCGACTTTTTTAAAAATTTAGCTAAATTTTTCAAAGTTTTTCCGCTCTTAATAGAGCGAAGAGCAACTAAAAGGAGTAGAAAAACATTTTTTGCCTACCTATAGTATAACGGGGATCGGTTAGCGGTTAGCAGGTACCCAAGGAGTGCACCGAAGATAAACCCCACCCATCCGTTCCTGAAAAAATCAACTGACAAACACGATTTGTTATCAGGTTGTCGAAATCCGCTTTACCGTAACCAATTGTCCGAAAATCATTTTGTCGAAATTCATTTTGGTGAGATACGTTTTTGTCATAATATGATTTGATATTGTCAAAATTTCAATGCGCCGGAGTATCGATTTGCGAAATGTCTGAGACGGATAATCGAGACGAAAGAGGCGTCGGAATTTCGAAAAAATGATTTTCGACAAAACCATATTTCGACAAAATGAACTAAGCCGACAATCGCAACTTCTCGCAATGTACCACAAAAATCGAGCGGATCGGTCGGTTAGCGTAGCGAAGCGGAGTCGTTGCCAGACCCTGGATAGCCTTGACATTGTCGATTATGGTCCGGCGAGGAAAAGCTGATCATTGACAGCGGCCGTATGCGGGAAATGCTATTTACACAGCCGGCGTGTTGGTACGTGTTTCTCTTTTATGTAATTGGAAGCTAACTGGGGGTTTTGAGGTTGCGGTTGCCACTGTCTGGCAAAGAGGAAAATTTAAGAATCCTAAAAGATAAGATAAAATCTTGTTTTAACCATCGCATTTTTGAGCCGGCAGGATTAACATGCCGTAATGGCCCCTAGATCCGAAATCTCGGCATCTATGATTGCCTGATTAATTTTAGGGTTCTTTAGCATTATCGGGGGGGGGACCAATTTGTTATACAGGTCTTGAAACGCCTAGTAACACAATAGAAAGTATTTTATTAGGTTTTGCAGTGAAATGTAACTATATTTCAACTAGAAAAACTATTTCAAAACTTCAAAACATTTTTGAAGGAAAAATTTATGGTAAAAACGGCGATTTTGGTCGAAAATTTATTTATTTTTGTATTTTTGCAAAAATTTTGTTCTATGTATACGTTGTAGATTTGTAAAAACACTGTTTAGAAACACTTCCGCTATCTTCCCCCCCTATAATGGAAAAGAACCCGAAAACGTAAACCCATTTTTAAAGTCATTGGTCAAAGAGCCAGTCATTTTGCTCGAAAATCGATATTTTTTTGTAGTTTTTAATGTTTAACCAATTTAAATTTCATTCGAAGAAAATGCTAAAGCCAGAAATGCCATCGGAGTTTGGAAAATTCACGGGGTTTTTGCGACTGTTTGAAGGCGCTGAAGGTCGTGGCGCGCGGTCGCGTTGCGGCTGTGGCTGGCGATTTGCCAGGAATCCACGGGTTTGACCAGGTTTTCCATTCTTTGAAAGTGAAGCACCCCATCCCCAGTCAGCCGATGATGGACATACGCGAACACTGGCTCCCGCCAGCTTCCCCCATGGGCCCTTTCCCGGGGTATGTGAGCGGGGGGAGATGGCGTAATGGGGGATTGGTTTGAAGGGGAGCGTCTCGTACACCTCGTGCTCCCTTTCCCGTCCCTTTAATGCTCTCCTTTTCGGGGCCATTGTCCCCCTAAAGGGGTGCGATCGACGAGACGATAAGCCGATTCCACCGGCCACCCACTGGCCATCGGCTGGGTCTTATTGGGCTGCTTCTCCCGCAGGAAGCCCTTGAATTAACTGGGGTGTGCGGTGGGTGGCTCGGGTTATTTTTATTCTTCGAAATATCATTTTTGTCGAAGTTTCTGTCTTGTGAAGAATTTTTCGTTGATTCTGGCTGCGGGAAATTCTGTATTTTTATCATCTCGCTTTTTTCCTGTCTAAATTCCATTCTGGACCTAGCCTATCTTGTGCAGAATTTTTCGCTGATTCCTGAGCTGTTTCCGAATTGGCGGAAGAACCCGATTTCCAAAGTTACAACAGTTTTTGTTGCAAATTGGCTCAAAATGGTGGGTTCTCAAAAATTTCAAAAAGATTGCAAAATATATTCCGGAGAAAACAAGCCAAAACCTGAGGTAGAAAAATATGCTCTTTTGGATGAGCTACCCTACGAAGTATTTAATAATAATAATAATTTATTCAACACTAAGGTTTCAATGAGAAACTCACATCATTTTTCGAAGGGTGTAAAATCAAATATTTTAAAAGGCCGTTTGCGGGTGGACCGAAATAGGCTTGGCACAGTTTCTTTTCGACCCTGTTTTTTTGACGGCATCGGATAGAGCATAGCCGAATTAGTAGGGCTGCATAGTTTTGAAAGTTTAAAAAGTTAATTTTGAGTGTTTAAATGGGCCTCAAAGTAGCCGACCCCGAAAAACTATCTCGAAAGCTACTGCACCGAATTTGCTGAAACCTTGTGACAATACCTAATTTTGGATGGGGATCATTTCTCTAATACATCGCAAAGCGCGAAAATGACGGGAACATGGTTAAATCGAATAGTACAAACAGTTTTTTTAAGACTTTCGAATTTTTAGTATTCCGAGCGCAATCTGAAACTAGCATAGAAAGAAGCGCGAGACTTTTCTGCATCGATTGGTGTATCATTTAGCTTGCGCGAGGAATACTAACTTTGAGAAAAATCGCGATTTGTAGGCGAAAAACGCGGAAAAAATGTCCCAAAAATACAAAGTTGTTAATTTTGTTAATCTGAGGTATCAAACGCATCTGAAGCCGAGCTGAAGCGATTGCAAAGAGGAAAACGAAATTCGGCTTCTGAGAGGGCGCTGGATTGAACTTGCGGCGGCTCTGGATTGGCACGCCGACGCTCTACTCATTGCGCCACAGGGCTCCCAGGCGGAGGGTCAGGTTCGATTCGGGACATCGAAAGAAAGGGAATTTCGTTTTGCTCTTTTTTGCAATCGCTTCAGCTCGGCTTCTAGACGCGTTTTGATACCTCAGATCAACAAAATTAACAGCTTTGTATTTTATGGGACATTTTTCCGCGTTTTTCGCCTACAAATCGCGATTTTTCTCAAAGTTAGTATTCTTCGCGCAAGCTAAATGATACACCAATCGATGCAGAAAAGTCTCGCGCTTCTTTCTATGCTAGTTTCAAGTTGCGCTCGGAATACTAAAAATTCGAAAGTCTTAAAAAACTGTTTGTACTATTCGATTTAACCATGTTCCCGTCATTTTCGCGCTTTGCGATGTATTAGAGAAATGATCCCCATCCAAAATTAGGTATTGTCACAAGGTTTCAGCAAATTCGGTGCAGTAGCTTTCGAGATAGTTTTTCGGGGTCGGCTACTTTGAGGCCCATTTAAACACTAAAGATTAACTTTTTAAACTTTCAAAACTATGCAGCCCTACTAATTCGACTATCCTCTTTCCGATGCCGTCAAAAAAACAGGGTCGAAAAAAACTGTGCCAAGCCATATTGGGGGCTGTTCGAGTGACTGGCGGACGGCCTTTTAAGCTCGTTTTACACAAAAACCGTTGTAACTTTTGCAATCGGGCTCTTCCACAAATTTAAAAAAGAGTGTCGAAATCTGCGCAAAATTCTGCACAAGATAAGCCTGGTCCCGAATCGAATTTACAAAGCAGAGGGTCCAGATGCAAAAAAATGCAAAATTTCCCCAGCGTAGCCAGCCCCCCATAAAGAGAACAGTACCAGCTTTAAGGTCTTTTTATCCCCAAATCGGGGTTGTTACTGTTATTCGGTGCAGCCGTCTTATTTCCAGCCTAATGCCCCGGGCAAACAACGGGTTACTGAAGGGGGGCAGGTGGCGGAAATGAGCTAAGGAAGGGCTTTGGGGGGCCAATAAGGGCCTCGAGTCCACCTTGATTGTTTTGGGGAGGGGCTACCGTAGGTGGAAAAATCGGATTTATAGCGAGTATCCAGTTTCTGATGGCAATTTCCATGGCACGCCTTGGTCTGGCTGTCGCTCTCTCTCTATTCTCTATCTCTCCTTCTCTATCTCAATCTCGCTCTCTGTGTCTCTCCTTCTCTGTCTCTCTCTGTCACACTATCGCTCGCTCTCTGTCTGTTTCTCTGTCTCTCCCTCTCCCTCTCTGTCTCTCACTCTCTCTCTCTCTCTCTCTCTCTCTCTCTCTGTCAATCTCTCTCTCGCTCTTTTTCTCTCTCTCTCTCGCTCTCGCTCTCTCTCGCTTGCCTAGCTCGACCATGACAGGCTTTTTTGCGGATCCGCTATCGGCGATGCTCGGGGTGGAGTCTGTCATTACCCAATTAGTCCTAATGCACCCCTACCGGAAGGGAGAAGACCCCTAAGGGGTAGCGGCTGCTTTGGCAACTGCCCCCTTGTCTCAGGGCACATCCCAGCCAGCCACTCCACAAACCGATTTGCCCCCTTTGTTTCGTAGCCGTCGGCTTTTCATCATACTTGCAGGCCCAATTTATCGAAGTTTTTTGCAACCTGGTAAACTTTCCGTCTTTTAAACGGACCGGAAATTGCAAGGACCGACCCCTTTTGTCGATTAGGTTTCTAACGCTACGCGGCGCGCCAAACGACGTCTGTGTGTTGCCTATCAAATAGAAATAGATGGGGGATATTTCATGAAATTGACTTGCCAAGCCCTTAAATCGGTTCTGATATGTATCCCCACTTCTGAAGGCTCTCTCCCCCCTCTCTCTCTCTCTCTCGCTCTCTAGCTCTTTCTCTCCTCTCTCTAGCTCGTACGCGCCTAAAACAGGCTTTTGTCTTCCAGTAAACTATCAAATTTGCTATCATATCTCCACCACCCCCCTCGCCGACACTCTCCATCTCTCACCATCTCTCTCTCTCTCTCTACCTCTCTCTCTCTCTCTCTCTCTCTCTCTCTCTCTCTCTCGCAAATACCCATCGTAGTCTTCCACACAAAGATGCGTCTCGCTGCCGATTCGTGCTTCCGGGCCCCCTCCTCCTAGCTATGGGTCCTGAATCGTGGGCTGATTGGATTGGATTGGAGGGTAAAGGAGTGGCTGGGAAAGTGTTGCTCCTCACTCCATCTCGCCCCCTATCTCTCGCTCATCCCTTTCAACGGCCCTTCTGGAGTCAAGTCAAAAATGTCTAGTGGCAGATGGGAAGTCTGGCGAGTGTTGGTGTTGCTTTATAAGGGTGTAAAAGCAGAGAAACATCAGTATTTAGAAAGCGGATGAACTCTAAGAAAAACGGAAGGTTTTTTGGGAAAGTTTACTTTTTACTTTACATTACTTTTCACGCACACGAATTTCATGTCGTAATTCTGCTCTAGGGTCCGCAAACTCTTAGCTATTCTAGGGTAAATTTGCATATTTCAAACAGCAAACATGGCCAAAGTATTTGCCCGATTCCAGGGAGCTTTGGCTTTATCGGAGGAGGGGGTTATCAGAGGGCAACCAATTTTTTTAGTCAGTTTTTTAACTAGTTAATTTTCTAGTAGGCTAATAAGAGTTTTAAATTGCTTTTAATACTCCTAGACAGAAACTTTACAAAGTTTGTGTTCGTAAATAGAAAAATACCGATTTTTCTCCCCAAATGTCGCCTTTTTAATATCTTTTTGAAGGTTTTTAGAGTGTTTTTCAATTGAAATATGGTTAAATTATGCTAAAAACACTATTAAAACAGTTAGTCACGTTACTAGGCATTTCTAGAAAAATCAGTAAACCCCCCCCCGATAGTGCCAAAGCACCGATTCCGAAATCGCTCCAGAATTATTGCAAATTCAGGCGTTTCCCACGTCAAAAGGGGCTATAAAAAAGGCTGCGTTGCGGCGATTTTTATTCTTTTTTGCCAGGAGTCGACAGACTGAGGGGCTGGATCAGACTTTTCCACCCATTTAAACGATCCCCCCTATAGCCAGTGCGTGAACGAGACTCTGAACCGAGTAGTGCCAGCCAGTCACCCATCCCCCTCCCATCAACACGCACTTCCGGTCTTCGGCCGGTTGCAGCTCGTCGTCGTGTGTCGCTTCAGGGCTTCTTCTTCGCCGCTCGGCCACAAGAAATTTGGGGTCCATTTTTCGGGTCTCCCCCTCGAGGCACAACTTCCCCCCCCTCCTTGCCACCCACCCGGCTACTATCGACGGCTACTTCTCGGTTCAAGAAATGGATCAAATTGATGCTGACGACTTTTTAAAGGGGCGGCGAAGGCGGGATTATGGATTTTTATTTCATAGATTTTCAGAAAATCATTTTTCGCCACTAATTTTCAGACTGTCCGATTTCATAACGTCGAAATTTTTATATGGCATTTGGGGGATTTCCTGGAATTTAAAATGTCGAAATTTCGGCATTAATAATAGCAACTATTTTTATAGCGTTTCTAGCGCAATTAACTAGAATGAAAGGGGAAAAACCAACCGAAAAAAGCGTAGACTCGGTTTTCCGGTAGAAATTTTGCTAAGAAACGGTTCTTTTGGTTCAAAGTTTGTATTTTTTTGTTGTTAATGACATTGTTCAAGTTTTAGCGTCTAGGACCACGAAAAAACGTGTAGAAATATGCCTGTAATTTCACTAAAAATTAAATTAAAAAATCTCAATTTTTTAGAAAAAAGTCATGCTAAGGAAAAGTTGCGCCCCCCCCTGCTAATGCAAAAGTACCCTAGATTCTTTCGCTAATGGAAGCTGACTTACAACTAGCCTGCCCAACTGCGTGGGTCAGAAGCCTCCAATTTCATTTCTGCATTTCTGAATTTCGGGGGGTGCCGGGATGGGTGTCTCCCGTTTCGGAACGTTGTCTGTCTGCATATTTTGGTTTGAAAACTGACCCCCTCTGGCGGGGGCACCAATTTGGTATGTCTCCCCCCCCACCCATCTTCTTCCGCTTCTTCCCGTTTGATTCCGGGGGACCAGGGGAATTCCAGGGGGGTGCCTTCTGTCCCCCCGGCGGCTTTCGTCGTCGGCTGCCTATAATGAGTGTTGCCCCCCCCAAATTTCCTGCCATGGGCACACATTTGCATAGATAATCTACAGGGTCCGTCGGGGGATGTTCGGGCTTCTGGCCCTTGGCCCGAGCATGAGGTCGTGGATTAGCCAATTTGATTCCAATGGACCGTTTCGAGTAGCGTTTCGTACTCTTGTCTCTGTTTCCGAGTGCATGTTTGTGGATTTTCTAAAGTCATCTACGTCTTTTTTAAAGTACACTCTACCGATATTTTTAACTTGTTTTTTGGTGATTTTCCATACCTATCTGACCAGAAAGGCATCAAAAATTCAAAAATATTGTTTTTTTGTGCTTTTTTATTGACAAACTGTGTAAAATGATGCAAAAATCGTTTAGATTCCATTATCGAGCCCTTCGGGATTGCTGGGGAATAATCGCTTTCCTCTCTACCCCTCCCCCCCCCGCTAACAGTCCAGTACCTGAAACTCATAGAAATAGCTTTTTGGATATTTACTTTTGCCGAAATGTGTGAAAAATTCGAAAATCGCAAAAAATCAATTCTAGCACTTTCGAGAATCTCTAAAATTTATTGGGACGGTTCTCATACCTTCTTTGCATTTGGAAGCCTATCAAACGCCCTAAAACCCCTCTAGTTTTTATCACTATAAGCGAAAGGGGTGCGCCTCCCCCCCCCCCACCGTAAAGAAGCAAGTACCACGTTTTACACGCTTTCTAAGTTTTTGCGTTTGAAAACCACGTTTTTGACAAAAAAAGCGACAACCATAGCTCAGCCTTAGCTTTATATCTTCGAAAAGCTGCAGGTTTGGGGTGAAATTCCACAAAGATCTTTGCTAGCTGCCCCACCAAGTCGTTATTTCCGACTTGCGAATCCCTTTACCCACATTTCTCGGGCCCGTCGGCCCACTGCGACGACAACGGCCCCTCCTGGGGGGTCTTGACCAATTTGGGGTGCTTTGTGTCGCGTGTCGGCGGCTCATTATGCTCATCTTCGAGGGGGAAAGAGCAGCAATGGGCAGTGGATGGCCACCCCCCACCCATGGCTTCATGGTGCCCATTCCGATCCACGACATTTGACACCCACCACCAATGAATGTCCCGTTCCGCCGCGAGAACGTTTATGTCGATGTGCAATTACGGGAAGCGGCTGATTTTATTGGCCAAGTGCCTTGTAAAAATGATTGGAAGGCCAAAATTTAAGTATTGGTGAACCCTAAGCCTAAAGCTTAAACCTAAGCTGAAAACTAAGCCTGAACCTGAGCCTAAGCCTAAGTTAGGCCTAAGCCTAGGCAAAAGCCCAATCTAAGCCTCCGCCTAAGCCTAAGCTAAGCATAAGTCTAAACTAAGCCTAGGCTGAGCCAAATCCTAAGCCTGGACCTGAGCTTAAACCTAAGCGAAGTCCAATTTTAAGCCTAAGCCAAGCCTAAGCCTGAGAATAAGCCTGATAATCCTAAGCTAGGCCGAGTCCTAAGCCTGAAAATCTGAACCTAACCTAAGCTAAGATCAATCCTAAGCCTAGGCCTAAGCCCTGAGCTTAATCCTAAGCCTGCGCTTAAGCAAAAGCGCAAGCATAAGCTAAGCCAAGCTAAGTCTAAGCCTCGGTCTAACCAGAAGCTTAAGCATAAGCCTAAGCCTAAGCCAAAGTCTAGGCATAAGCCAAAGTTGAGCCCAAGTACGTGTTTTACGTCACTAGGCACATCCGGAATCCTAGGGAATAGCCTTCTATCGATCTTTCCGGAATTATTCTCCCCCCCCCCGATAATGCAGCAGAACCACCATTTAGCATTATTCATTTTCTTTACGTTTTTGGTTACGTTTTCTCGCTACAATTTCACAACTAGAACATGTGCTTTTTTCAGGGAGACCAACTTTCCCCAGCAGCCATCGGCCATGAGTCCGACTCGCCAATAGTACAGCCAAAATGCGGCTTTTAACTTTCGGGCTCCAAGTGGTCGGCTTCGTGCTGGCCATCGAGCTGGGTGAGTCGCACTCTTCGTAATTTTTCAATTTTTTCATATCGCAGGCCCCCCAAAACTACTGGAAGAACCGCCGAACGAGGTCTGGTTCCAAGATAGCCCACCCGACGCCACCTCCGCCACCCCGCTCACCCTCAAATGTATTGCATCGGAAAATACGGAGACGTGAGTATTGGTTTAGGCTTAGGCTTAAGCGTAAGCTTTGGCTTAGGCTTCAGTATCGGCGTCGGCTTAGGCTTCGGCTTCTGCTTAGGCTTAGGCGTCGGCTTAGGCTAAAGCTTGGGCTTCGGCTTGGGCTTAGGCTTGGGCTTTGGTTCGACTGGGCTTAGACTTCGTCTTCGGCTTCGGCTTCGGCTTAGGCTTGGGCTTAGGCTTAGGCTTCGGCTTTGGCTTAGACCTCCGCTTAAGCTTAGGCTAGACTTAAGCTCAACCTCCTTGGAAGTGCTGTCAATTTAGATTCTACTGGATGCGAGACGGTGTTCGACTAGAAGTTGGCGACGGCTTGCTGACGACTTCCGACGGGGATAAGCCAGATGCTGTCGAAGTCAGATGGGAGCGACCCGGCCAGAACGGCTCGCTCGTCTTCCCCCGTCCTGTCGCCAGCATCCAGGTACGACGATAGACATTATTTCACAACGATTTTTACGGTGCTGGGCTCTTAGCGGGGGGGGGGGAGTTTTTTCCTAGGAGCTAACTTTTCAAAAATAAATAGTCAGAGTGCTTTTAAATGGTTTTTTATACTATGCTTAAACGTAAAATTTTTACAAATATTACCAAAAAATCTATTCTTCGACCAAAATAGCAGTTTTTGGCCAAAATTTAGTTTTTGCACAATTTTTAAACGTTTACCAGGGTTGAAAAGCCGCTTCGCGACTTTTCAACCCTGGCTTCGTCTGAACCCATGATATCTTGCACTTTGCATATTCAGCCGAATTTCGATGAGAAATAATGAAAAATGCGCCATCTCCGTCGTTATATAAGCTGCCGCTACTTCCGGCGTATGCTAATTAATTCCTAGCAAAGAGGCTGTCCGATTTTTGAACAAAAATTGATTTTTAATGTCGAAAATAGCATAATTTTCTAAATCTGATATGCGTGCAGTCATCTCCAGTCCATTACGCACCTAATGACGTATCATTCGTAGCCTAATACCCTTCCCCCTTCGAGATATCCTCCGGACACCCTGACGGAAGTTGCATGCAAATGCACACACACACACACACAAACACTATTTTTTTATATATTAAACGTTTATAGATGGTTTTTCTACTTTAAATATAGTTTTATGTTACTAAAAACACAATTAAAAAACTTTCTATTAAGTTACTAGGCATTTCTAGAGCCATACATTTTTGCCCCCCCTCCCGATAATGCGAAAGAGCCCGATTTTTGCGCAGGGCTTCTACCAATGCTTCGCCGGCAACATCTACGGCACCGCCGTCTCCAACAAGGTCCACGTGCGCATGGGCGGTATGTATTAAAGGTGGTTGATTTGAAAGACGTTCTTCCAGTGCTCGAGCATTTCGCGCGTCGCGGTGTGCGTCGCGTACGCGTCGACGAGGGCGCGCCGTTGACGCTGAACTGCAGCCCGCCGATCGGCAGGCCGAAGCCGCACGTTTTCTGGTTGTACCGGTATTTTTTTGGGGATATTGTCTTGATTATAACATTAGAATTACTTTATTGTGATTTCGAAGGCTATAGAAATTTCCAAAAAATCCTCATCACCCCTATTTTTCAAGCGAAACGCTTAAACGATCACTCAAGTAAGTGCCCCGTGTGGCCCTCGCCCTTCGTTTCGGCTTTTGACCGCGTTTGCATGGCGTCAATAGGCGTATCCCGTACTATAAGTACCATTTCAGTGACACGAATCGCGAGGACGTCATCGAAACGATTCGCCGGCGCCATATCGGCATCGACGCCGACGGGAGGCTCCACTTTACGGCCGTTCAGGTTGGGCTTTTGGTACTTGGCTGTTAGCGGGGGGGGGGAAACTGATTTTTCCCAGTAATCCTGCACGGTATCGACCATTATTATAACATTTTTGCATCATTTTACGCACAATTTTCGAACGTTTTTGCCTTTTTGGGTAAAAATGTATGTCAAACGACCCAAAAAGGAAAATTTTCGAATTTTCAAACATATTTAAAATATGTTTTGTAACTTTTTAGCAATCAAAAACCACTAAACACTATAAAATACACTATTTAACAAGATAGGCAATAAGCAAAAATTCGTTGCTCTAATCGATATTTTCTTAACGTTTTCCAGGAAGAAGACGGCCGTCGCGGGCTGCTGTACGAGTGTGCGGCGTCATCTCCCGTTCTCGGTGATGAGTACCGAGCCGGCGAAAGGATACAGCTAGAAGTTGTGCCCAGACAGGGTGAGGCTTCCGGAAATCGCTCGTAGCAAACGCTTCCAGTCTCCGCCGTCCCAATCCGTACGCTCTACGTGACCCCAGATGAGGTGACCGTCCGCACCGGCGGCCGATTGAAGCTGCAATGTATTTTCGGAGGACGGTAGGCTTCCAAAACGAGCGGCAACTTGCGCCTCCGCTTTCAGACCCCGCCCCGTCGTTTTCTGGGAACGCGAAGAGGGCGAGCTGCCGCGCGAGCGGATGAAGGACCTGTCGTCGGGGGAATCGGATTTTGGGATGAGCCTCGTGATCGATTCCGTGGTTCCGGAAGACGCGGGCACCTATCTGTGCCGGGCTCAGCATCTCTTGCACGTCTTCAACGTGCGCGTACATGGTACGGGTTTTTTGTCGAAATTTCAATTTGTCGAAATTCATTCTGTCGAAATGTTATTTTGTTCGAAATTTCAATTTATCGAGATTACAATTTGTCGAAATATCATTTTGTTCAAAATGTCAATTTATCGAAAATCATTTAAGCGAAATATCATTTCGATAAAATCATTATCATCAAAATTCAATGCCTTTTCGCCTCGATTATTCATCTCAAACATTCGAAAATTCAAATTTCAGCGGATTGAAATTTTGAAAAAATCTTATTTCGATAAAATGGATCTTTGCCAAAATCATGTTTTCACATAGTCATTTTCGAAAAAGGAATTTTGGCAAAATTCTGTTTTAAATGAATTTCGACAAAAGTAAATTTTTTTTGTCATTTGCCAACCGCGTATTCGAAAAAAATTGATTTTCGACAAATGGAATTTGGACAAAACTATAGCAAATTTACTAATTTTATTTTCTTTAGCCGCTCCCTACTGGGTAGCCGGCCCCCCAGCGGATGTGGTGCGGAGTGAAGAGGGTGAAGCCGAAATTCACTGTCTGGCGGCTGGCAGCCCGACGCCCAACGTAGAATGGAGCATTAATGGTGTTCCCATAACCCGTAAGTCTATAATAGTTGAAATATTGAATTATATTTTTGATTATAAGAATGAATTATTTTATATTAATTATTCTAAGAATAAATTTTTAATTACAAGTATTGTCGATTCCGTTGCAGAACTACCCACCGATGATCGTCGAGAATTCCTGGAAGACGGTCGTGTGCTACGGATTACGGTAGCTGACCCAAAAATTAGCCGTAATTCGGTGGTTTTTCAGGCTCTTCGACACGACGTCGACATGGGCGTCTACCAGTGCAATGCTTCGGGTCCGCTGGGATACGTCTACGCGAACGCTTTTGTTCACGTGAAAGGTTAGGCTTTCGGTATTGGACTATTAGCAGGGGGGACCCATTTTTCCCAGTAATCCTGAACGGTCCTATAACAAAATACGCACCAGTACGTTTTACACAGTTTTCAACTAGAAAAAGGTTTTCTAAAAAACTACAAAAATTGGAAAATTTTTGACTTTTGGGCAAAAAATGTATGAAAAATGAACAAAAAGGTCTAAATCTTTGGATTTTCAGAAATATTTTTATAACCTAGCAATCAAAAGCTACTAAAAACTATAAAAGACGATATTTATGATTAACGGGTAGAGCTATAGGCTGAAAACAACAATTCGTCCCCCCCCCCCTGCTTAGAGTCCAGTCCAGAAATTTCAGGGCGGGCTTGCAGAGATCCTTGGGGTTTTTTCAACGTTTCTTGGACACGAACAAGCTTAATAATTTGGGTTAATTGTGCCGTTTTTCAGCGCACGCGCCCCGGTTTCTGATGCCAGCGAAGCGTGACTGGAGCGTTGTGATGCGTTCCACCGTAGATCTCGATTGTCAGGTAGGGAAGTGTTGGCTAGACTACAAGCTACAAATTGACATACGGGATAGCACAGACTACAGACTCCAGAGTACAAAAAATAATCCCAAATTGCTCTTTGCCAGGTCGAGGCCGCCCCGGCTGCCGAGGTGCACTGGGTGGACGAGGACGATCGACCGATTGTCCCCATCGATCCCAGGATTACTGTGCGTTTTAGGAGAGGGTTTATTTCCCTATTTCCCTGTACTCCTTTCCTTTATTTTACTATTTTTCTATCTGAATTACGTTTTTATTTCGGTTCTTTCGCGTTATCGGTGGAAGGGGGGAGAGAAAGTGTTTTTTTATTGGTCTAGAAATACCTAGTATTTCCATAATAAAAAGGAAGTGGTTTCATAATGTTTTTAGCAACATAGAACTGTATTTTAACTACAAAAATATCTTAAAACATTGCAAAAATTTTCCAAATTGAAATTTTGGTCGGAAAACGGCCATTTTTGGTGGAAAATCTATATTTTTTGTATTGTTAAGCAACATTTTGTAAAGTTTTTACGTTCAGGAATCGTGAAAAAGAGCTTAGAAACACATCCGCTATTTATATTTAAAACTATTTCTATTTTAGATCTTTCCAAATCATACCCTCCGTATCCACGACGTGCACATCACCGACGAGGGCCTCTACTACTGCAACGTGTCCAACAAGTATGGCCTGGGCCGGGCGCTCAATCGACTCGACGTCTATAGTATGTATTTTCCACTTTACGGCAATTCCATTTAGAACCCACATATTTCCTGAAGGTCCCACAACCTCGCGAACTTGTTGTGGAGGCTGAAGATGACGTGGGTCCTTGAAAATATCTTTTTTCGATGAAAAACTTTTTTAATCTTTTTGGATGATTTTGTTTGTATTTCAGGTGGAGCTGGAGTGCGAGGCGGAGCCGGACGAGCGGTTGACGGTACGCTACGTGTGGACGCTAAACGGGAGGCCGGTGAACGCGTCGAGCAGCTTCTCGTTGATCGGCCAGCACAAATTGAGGCTCCGCAAAGCCGCCGGGAGGCATTCGGGAATCATTGAGTGTCTTGTCATTACGGATGTCGACTTGAAACGTGCCGCCATGCATCTCGTCGTTAGAGGTATAGCTTTGGAACTGGATTTTAGTCATTTAACTTTTGGTTCTTTCGCATTATCGGGGACTTTTTGTATAAGCCTAGAGATATCTAGTAACTTAAGGTAGTGGTTTAATAGCGTTTTTAATAAAATATTTATATTTCAGCTGGAAAACCTATCTTAGAACTGTAACAAGGTTAGAAAAAGTCGATATTTTGGTCAAAAAATCCTATCAAAAATCAATTTTTTCATCGAAAATCGATAATTTAAATGTTTAAATAATGATTTGTAACGTTTGACCCCTAGAAATAGTAAAAAACAGTTTCGAAACCTTTCCATGATTTATATTTGAAAAATCGGATCCCAAGAAAGAAGTTGGTCCCCCCGATAATGCCAAAGTACCTAATTTTTCCATAGATGTCCCCTCATCCCCGGAAATGTCATCGTGTAGCTGCTCGGAACGCAAGGCCACCTTCCACTGGAGCCCCTCAAATCCGCACGGCGACCCGGTGCAGCGCTACTCTGTCGAAATGCACACGGATTTTAAACCTGTAAGTTTCGCGAATAACGTGTATTAAGTAAATGCACTAAGTTAAATACTTACCCTCGATTTAGGAATACTGGGAGACTGTCTACGAACGTACAGGCGAGGAAAAGCCCGACTACGATGCGGAAATTACACTGACGCCTTGGGTACGATAATTTCTGAATCTGGAAAAACGTTCTAGGTGAACTACACATTCCGCGTGATCGCCGAGAACAGCTTTGGGCGCAGCGACAAACGACCGGCGGCGCTGGATGAAGGTATTGGGACCAGCACCCAAACGGAAACCGTACGTTCAGGGAGAGCTGCGCGGAATCTGCGGAGTGCCACACACGCCCCTCGTTCCCGTACACTAACCCGGCAGGCGTGTGGGCGCAGGGCGATCGACCTGGTTGGTGAAAGAGGCAGACTAGCGGAGATTGTTTGGGATTTGGGAACTGTATGTAGTGCTGAAAGCCTACTTTTTTGGCATATGCTACGTGGGCTCCTATTTACGCGTAAAGACAAAAGACAGCGAGAGAGAGAGAGAGAGAGAGAGAGAGAGAGAGAGAGAGAGATAGAGGGCGAGCGGGACAGAGAGCGAGAGAGAGAAAGAGCTATAGAGATGACGAGAGAAAGAGAGAGCCAGCGAGAAAGACAGAGAGCGAGATAGAGAGAGAGGCAGAGCGAGAGAAAGAGAGAGAGAGCGAGACGCAGTGATGATGGCGAAAAACGGCTCCTTTCCAGACAACTTGGTCATCCACTGGCAGCCGATGGACAAATACGACTGGAACGCCCCGAACCTTCAGTACCTCATAAGGTATTTTATTTTCACCAACTTTTTGTATAGACTACTCTTAAAAGCATCTCTTTAGGTACAAGCTGAACACCTCGCAGGCGGTGTGGACCGAATTCGTGGTGGAGGACCCGCTGGCGGTGAGCTGGAGTTGCGCTACTAAAATTTCTTCTTGTTGCAGAATCAGACGGCCATCCGAGAGCAACCGACGTATCGCCAATTCTTGGTGCAAGTCCAGGCCGCAAACGCCGTCGGGGCTTGATTGTGCCTCCGGATACCGTTGTTGGATATTCTGGAGAAAACGGTAATTTTTGGAAACCATCTGTCACTCTCTCTCTCTCTCTCTCTCTCTCGCCCTCGATTTTACTCTCTCCCTCGCTCCCTCTGTTTCACTCTTTTTCTGTCTCTCTCTCTCTCTCTCTCTCTCTCTCTCTTTGCTCTTTTCCCCGGTCTTTCCCCTCACACACTCTCACTCTGCCTCTCCCATATCTAGCCTCGCTCTCTCTCTCTCTCTCTCTCCCCCTCTCCCTCTCGAAATCTACTTTTCAGTACCGACCGAGGCCCCAAACTCCTTCACCCTCGGCTCATTCCACAACTTTTCCGCGGTGAACGTCTCATGGCTGCCCGTCGACGCCAACACGATCCACGGTCATTTCCTGGGATATGAGGTCGGTATCTTTATCATATAAAACCTTATTGAATTCTTTCTTATCTTTAATGCACATCCCAACCTATCGTTTAGATCGAATACTGGCCAACGGACAGTATTGCTGTGGCCCCGGTGGAGCTGATCGTGCCCAAGGACGAGACGGAAACCGTCATCGCTCGTCTCCGCCCACACACCAACTACTCGGCGGTGGTCAGGGCGCGGAATAAGTACGTTTTACGGTTCTTTCTCATTATCAGGGGGGGGCGGGGCAGGTGCTCCTAAACGGCTTTTTTTCATATTCCTAAACGCAAAAACTTTACAAAGTTTTATCAACAAACATTCAAAAGACTTTTTCGACCAAAAATGGCCGATTTTTTTACCACAAATTCGACTTTTCCGATTTTTTTAGTTTTAGATTGCTTTTCTAGTTGAAATATAATTTATATTATGCTAAAAGCATTTTTAAAACATTTTCTATGAAGTGGATAGAGGTTTCTAGACTTATAAAAAAATTCGGTCCCCCTGATAAAGCGAAAGCTCCCCTTTTACGATTGTAATCATGCTTTTTTCCTTTAGGCAATACCGCGGCCCAGCCTCCAACAAGATCGAGTTCGAGACGCCGGAGGGAAGTGGGTGAAAGTTTGCATTTTAGCGTTAGAGCAAACTGAAGAGAGGATAAAATTAAATAAAGACTCGTTCTCAGACCCAACCTAAACTCGCTATTTAAGTCCCCTCGGTCGTATCATCGCTACGTGTCGTGACCGTTGGCGCCCACTCGATTTTGGTCCAATGGGAACCCCGCAACGTCCCAACGGCTTCGTCCGCGGCTACTTCGACGTTCACGAATGACCGGAGTACGACTTTCCTCTTTACACCAGAATGAAAGCCATTTAATCATTGAGAAAAAGGAACGAACCCTTATTTTCAGACGACACCGAGGAGACTTACGTGCTTCACCGACAACATCACTATCTTCACGAGAGGGCCGCTGCGGATTCTCCGTATAAGGTATTGATTAACGCTTAAACTATACAAAACTATCATTTTTACCTATTAAAACCAGAGAAACTAATTGTAATGTAGTCAAACTGGTACTGAACCGTTAGCGCGGGCGGGGGTGCTTACGGGGGAAATCGATTTTGTCAAGTAAGCAGCCTCTGACGAATATAAATAACTTTTTAGTATTTTCTACAGATTTTCGATCTATAAATAACTACGGAAATTTAAAAATTTAGGAAACGGAAAAATAAAAAATGGCCTAAAAGTCAAAATCTTCGATTTAAAAAATTTACAAAATTTTTTTACGGCCGTTTAGTTATCGAAAACTATTAAAACACTATCAAACTCGTTCCTTTATAAACAACAGGATAGGCGGAAATATAAAAATGTGTGCCCACCCCTGCTAACAACC